CACCCACAAAAAAAAAAGGACTATTTCTCGATTTATGTGTGTCATCCTTGCACAGGAGCCATGCTAATCTTCTCTGCATCGTTCCAATTTTAACAGATGTTTGGAAGGACAGAATTTATCCCTACTTTTTCTATACACTTTTCTTAAACTTGGCTTCACCCACTGGAAAAGTCCGAATGGGGAATTTCCGAATTTACTATTTAGTATTTACTGTTTGTTCAAACTTTTCCTCCTGAAGGGACCTGAACTCAATGCCAATGACCATTATGGTGACCACAAATTTAAAATTGCCATTGTCAGCAAGCAAACAGGAATGTGGCTCTCAACTTCTCCACCGGTGAGAATAATAATCAATAATTACATTTCATTTTCATATTATTCATAATATATTCATATTCACCCCACCCGATGGTTCCCCTTGTTATGGCCAGGGGACCCTCCATACAACATTGATTGCTTTTCTGAGAAAGGATCAGGACTTAGGAGCAAAGCCCAATTTGCTTTCAAAACAAATGGAGGAGGAATGCTTCTCTTGACTGAATGGTTAAGGCCACAACAATCGAGCCCAGCCATGGACTTTCACATCCGGATACGAAGCTATACGAGTACCGGCGTCCCACATCCAACACAGCAACAGTCTTTGAGAGTCCACTTGACAATGACAATGTCAAGGGTTCGATGCACGGTCATTTTTTTTTGCTCTCCAAATGATCTTTTAATCTAATGAAAATTCTGAAATGAAATAATGCTGCTCAATAGTTATTCATACCATACTAAGTTATTACTAACCATAGTTAGAACTTAGATTTTCTGAGTTGAATCTTAGACCTGAAAGAGGTGTGATCAAGATATCGATATGACATATGTATGCTTCCGGTGCCTCATATATTGTCACATAACTATGAACTACAAGAGCGCACTTTGCGAAACAAACGGTAAAGATTAAAAAAAAAAAAAAAAACAGAGACGAGGGGCACACTGAAACTATTCATTTTTCTCCATTCTTCTTTTAACTCCCCCTTCACCGTGCCTCTCACGTACAAGGCTCCCACATTAATGAAGTTGAGCGTGAGCTGCCCGCATCCCCGTGTGCCATGACGGCCCACTACTACGCTGTGAGAAAGAGGCAGAGTAAAGGGGGAGGTGATAAACACAAGGAAGAGAGATGACGAGAAGAGAAACAAAGAACGAAAAAGGGAAAGTAAGGATGCCTCGTATATATTCACTTACCACTCTCTTATGAAGGACATCTGAGAGGACACGTGCCATCTCTCTGATAACTGTTGTCTTCCCCACTCCTGGCCTATGAGAACCGTGATCAGGCGCAAGAAAACCAAAAGAAGAAGAACGAGAAGAAGAAAGAAGAAGAAGAAGAAGAAGAAGAAGAAGAAGAAGAAGAAGAAGAAGAAGAAGAAGAAGGAAGAGCAGGCAGAGGGAAGTTATGAGCAACCTATCTCAAGATGAAGGAAAATACAATCACAAGGACAAAGGCAATGAAAAAGGAAGATCAAGGAAGACAACAAGGAACTTAGAAATCGAGGATAAAAGAATAAAAGAGAACGAAAAAAAAGTGGGGATGAAAGAGAGAGGGGGAAAAAAAAGGGGGGAAAAAAGGAGAGTACAACGGGCAGCAGATCACGAACAATACCATCAATCAAACACTCAAGTAACTCAACTTAATATTTTTATCACCGTATGAACCTAGAGCAACAAGATAATGAACTGACTGGTAAAACATCAGAAATAGAATAGCATAATCATCGAAGCCTACGGCAGTCATAATGTTAAGTCTGAATCAGCCGCCTAGCTCAGCTGGTATGGCACGGAAGTGGCATTCCGGAGGTCATGGGTTCAATCCCCATTGGCCTCATGCACCTTCCTGGGCAAGCTTGGCGCCCACCACCTAGAGATAGGCCGTCGGTCCCCCCCGAGCGGAATTGAACAGAAACTGCTGATGTTTGTCGGGGGAGTGGACCAGAGGGGAGGCACAGCGACTGGCCCATCCAAGAAGCTTGGCCCTGATGCTACCAGCTGACCCCTTGCCGGTATCGCCCACCTGCAGGTCGGGCGCAGCCCCCTCTCGTTGGAGGCTTGAACTCGGGCTGGCTGCTACGAGGTTCCCCGTATAATGATAATAACAAAAGGCCTGAAAGGCCTCCCTGCCAGATCCGACAAGTGATTGAATTGGTTGGGATTAAAAGACTTAGCTTTTAATACATAAATAAAAATAATAATGTTAAGTCAGCACAAACGCAAGCACAAACAAGAACATGCACAACACCCCCGGCACCCCCCAAACCCCCCCTGTCTCTTATACACATCTAGATGTGTATAAGAGACCCCCCCTCCTCCCTCCGGTAAAAAGAGCACGCACACACAGATAAGTCAGAGTTGAAACTCAAACTCAAATCCGCATCCACGTGCCATCAATTGCAGCCAATCAGGTTGTTCCATTCTCGTTGTTACCTTTCAAGAAAGAGGACATTTTCCATAACCACACACACACACACCAAAAAAAAAAAAAAAAAAAAAAAAAAAAAAAAAAAAAAAAAAAAAAAACACAGATTACATATACAGATAATTCAGACATTGCACTCAAACTCGATAGTCTCCACACGATCCCACAGACGATGAAATGCAGCAGACCAGGCATTTTGGACTTAATCTGTGTTGTTACCTTCCAAGGAAGAGAACACTCTTCCCGCAGTCCAGAAGTTCTTCAATCATATCTATGTGGCCACTAACTGCACGACCAACTCGACAAGTCAGGCCAACAATATCGCCCTTTCGATTTCTGATGGCTGAGATTCGATGAAGCGTCCCCTCCACACCTGCGCGGTTGTCTCCCCCAAAGTGCCCCACAGCCTGTTGTGCTGCTGCGAGGTCAGCTCGTGTGACCTGCAGCACCCCATTCCAGTTGAAAAAGTCCAATGACGATCCACTGACACATAGTGCCAAGTTCAAAGTCCAAATCTTCTCCCTCATCAACCTAAATGTTCTTCTTTTCCCCATCGTCTTCCCGTAACATTATTGCAATCCGGCCGATTCTATCAAGATTTGAATTTTGAACTCCTGATCTGGTTCATCAGCGGTTGCATGCTACCGTCTTCACCCAAATAAAACGCTCGGTCATAATCGCTGCATCTGGTCTGAAAGTTGCCCCAAATACAGCCATAATGTCCGGGTGTTCTATCCGGGTGAAGACGGTAGGTGTCTCCTCTTGTTTTCTCCCCCTTCCCTCTGTTCTAGACCCACTCCTTGACTCTCTCTGCTTAATTCGCTGTTTCAAAACTCAAATCACTGTAATAAAGTTTTTGAAGTTCTAAACCCGTTACATCAGCCCTGCATCCAAATCTGAGATTTCATTCCGCCGCCGTTTCCTCGTATATCTGTGCTAGTGTGTCGAGTCTTGGCCACGCCAAGTCTCAGTCATGGATCTTAAGATGGAAGGTACACATGTGTACCATTCAGCCACCAGGGAGGCACATCATCACAGCTCACTTGCTATTGTCATTAATCCAACAAAAATGCTGATGGGGCAGCAGGTCCAGGGTCGAATCCCTGCTGGGCACAGAGAGTCTTCTTCTTCTTCTTCTTCTTCTTCTTCTTCTTCTTCTTCTTCATCTTCTTCTTCTCCCTTCTTCTTCTTCTTCTTCTTCTTCTTCTTCTTCTTCTTCTTCTTTCTTTCTTTCTCTTTCTTAAACCACTAGTACCTCCACCAGTGTTGGGAAAATAGGGAAAAGTGGCAGTTTTCCCAAACTCCTAAAAATTCGGAGGCCGGGCCCGACGACAGCTGCAATTGATAAATCTGATCGTCAGCCATCGTTTCGTTTCAGCCTGCTAAAAGGTCGTAGGCCCACCCGAGGCCCGCTATTTTCCCACCCGAGGCCTGCTATTTTCCCACGCGGCAAAGGTACTAGTGGTTTAAGATTCTGACCCTGAATCTTATAAATCGTCATCAAAGTCGTCATCCAAGCATGCACAAAGTTGCACAAACCAATTGTGGGAAAATCGTCAAAGATGTCAAGTCTGTCACTTTACCCCTCTCTTCCTCCATCCAGCTGTCCACCATCTGGCGCCAGTGAAAGGCAATGAGCTCCGGCTTTCCTCCATGGTTTTCATTCCTAGGGCACAGAGATTCTAGCAGAGCTTTGATGAGAACAAGTGTTGCACCATCACGTCACCCACAACTTTTGCATCTTAGCTGCATCTTGTGTGCCTCGTCCAACCAGTGAGTGGGTCGCAATGCCATGCATATAAGTTTTCCGATTCAAGCAGCGGCCAACCAGGCAGGGTATCATTCACTGCAGGATTGCCTCCGTTTTCATCTTACTTGATGGTTCCTGACAGGTCATGGCGTCCGTAATTCACATGAATTGGGAGTGACAGTGACTCTTATTCATCCCATTTGTTATTTGAACTCATTTCAGTGCTATACACGTTCGGATAAAAAGAAAAGTGAATCCATCCCAAACATTGGGGTGAATACATTTCCCATGATGAAGCGCAACCTGAGCCTTGAATGAAAGGATTTAACATTCCTAAGCTTGCCGTGATTCGATTCCGGGACCTGTCGTTGTTGTTGTTGTTGCCTTTTCTGGAAGCACAAAGTGTTGATTAAATGAATTGAATTTAAATCCCAAGCACTGTGAATGTGGGATAACAAGACGATCAGATGCATCCATGATGTTTCAAGCGTGGGTTTGCAACTTTGCACTCAACTTCAACTGATGTCAAAAAAAGAACAGTAAACGATTACACATGTCCCTCACCTCTTCCTCACGCAAGTACTCCCCGGCTCCATCCCCTAAGAAGCGTGCCTGAGGTCGCCTTCCAAGATCGAGAATCACCTGCCGAAGCAAATTCACCAAAAAAATCACCCATTCAGAGGCAGCGCATGTAGATTATATGCGGTGGAGGAGAGGGGAAGAAGGTAAACAGTGTACAAAAAGCTTGAGAAAATTTGCTTCGATGCTCGAAGAATGCTCGTATGCCGTCATGTACCCCAAAACTACGGTAGCATTCGGGTTCAGGCAACACAAGTGTAGCAAACGTCGACACAATTCTTACCCCACTCCCACTCCCCCTCCCCTCCCCTACCACCAGATCCACTGTCCCTTCCTCTCACATCTCTGCAGCCCGAAGAAAGCTTGCTATTTATAAGAAATGATGTTGTTAGCAACTTCTGAGGTCTTACTCCAATGCCCGATTCTTCTGTTGATGAGGTTTTACATCAAAATGACCATGTGCAAGAACATGCCTTGTAGACACTGGGAACCATATCCCTGCTGTAGGGACATGGCCATTGGCTGCTGAAAGGGACAAGGACGGCCAAAGCAACAGTGCAGAAGAGGGAGCCAGCCAATCACATCCAGAAGTAGGACCAGAAGTATTGCAACTGCATCGGTGATTCAGGCAGCGGCATACTGCCTTGTTGATCACAAGCAGGGCATCTGCTTGTCATCCCCAGTGGCTGCTGCTCTGATGGCCCCCGCCTCGCATGCCATGGCATCCTAACAACCTCAAGAGTGCGTTAGCGGAGGTACAGACAGGGAATGTTCAGAATGCATGAGCATGAGCATGAGCATGAGCATCTCAGTGTGAGTGTGTACGTGAAAGATATCATGGGTTAGAGGAGTGGCTCCTAAGCTCTAGGGAAATGGTCTGCCTCCGTCTGTCCATGATCATTGCCGTCATTGCATTCCATTTACGGACACAACCATTGTTGTCATCGTGTTCCACGTACGGACACAATCATTTACGTTATTGTGTCCATATTGACGCGACCATTGACGGCATCATGCTCCCGATATGGACAATCCTCGACTGATTTATTGCACTGTGGAAAATTTTGGGCTGTCCACAGTCCTCACCTTGCTCCCTTTCTGTCATTAAGGAGGAAGATGACCAGTTTGTTTGTTACTTGAGAGAGCAGAAGCAACAAAAGTATGGCGAAGTATTTGTCAATCGACTCAATACCTGTGTGATTCTCATCTCTGCTATGATCCTGTCTAATTCATGGGGTAAGACTCAACTGAGACAAAGGAGAGAGAAGAAGAAGAAGAAGAAGAAGAAGAAGAAGAAGAAGAAGAAGAAGAAGAAGAAGAAGAAGAAGAAGAAGACACGATTGGAAAAATGTCATCTCCCTGCTCTTATCTCTATCGTCATTATCACTCACAAAGCTCTCCCTCATAATATTCCTAGGTAGCATAATTACAAAAGAGCTAATGAATGAACAAGTTACCAATGTCCGATAGGTTCCTTACTGCCAGTGTAGAAAGAACTCTCCTTTAATTCTCCTCTCTCCTGATTGTCCTCCTAGTAGTGCTATGGAAGCTCATCCATGTTTACTCGGGATGTTCCAAGGACCGCACACACCTACTATGCCTCTCCCTCCTCCTACCACCATTCTGCTCTCACAGATGAAGTTCATGTCCAACCAGCATCCCCCAACCGGGGGCTTCTTGAATCTTGATGCAGTGCCAGCCAGGGAAGTGAAAATGAGCTTTAGGTCCATCATAGCCAAACGTAAGTCTTCTTGTTGGTTAGCACCTTCTTCATCCTCCTGGGCTACTAACAACATTTCCCAGTACTCTCTCTTCCCCAGCGTGGGCAGCAACTACCTCCCTCCACAGCCAGTAACATCCCCCTCTTGCCCTGACTCACTCGACCGTAGCCATGTTCTTCTTCTTCATCACCGTCTTTTTTGATGCTCCTCTTCAACCCAATTTTCAGGTGGAGCAGCAGCATCGCTTCCGGGTGAATGTCCGGCCTACCGATTGCACCAAAAGATATACTACTACTGTCTGACCCAGTCTGCCTCAACTCGGCCTCCTCTAGGACCTATGGAGTGTGATGCCTGGCCTACCGCTTCCCTCCTTTGGGAGGGAGCATCGTTTTTGTGATCTACCCTGCACGACCTGAACCTAGAACTTAACCCTGAACAGATACAGTCCTGGTACGACCATTGCCTACCCTGCTAGGTACCGGAACCCGGGGCCTCTCTGAGTCGCTAGAAAATCCCCATTGGGACCCTATCAAATTCTACGTTTGTCCCTGACCATCCTAGACAGCGGCTAAATTTATTTCCTGTCCCTGTAACACCGCCTATTTCTACTTCTACCCCTTTCCGAGATAACAGAAACACGGCACGGGAAACAGAGATAGCACACCGATACAGATTCAGAACTTCAACAGACAAACACAGGGACATTTGTGTAATTCGTAAACATCAGCAGAACGTTCAGACTCGGTGATTACAGCAAAATGGAGTCAGACGGAGATTCCAGCAAAACAGACTCAGACTCGCAAATCTCACCAACCGGATCAAAGACTGCGATTTTCACAGAAAAATGCGGATTTCTCAAACTGGAACTGTGCGGGTCATTGCACCTCTCAACTTGAATGCTCTCACAGACAGAGCGAAGTAGGACACCCTTTACATCAGTTTCTTTGGTGACTTTTGCAATCGGGCATGAACTTCGACTGTGATCACCATGTGCCCTGTGAAGTTCAATACCATTTATTAACTAACTTACAGTTCTTAAACAAGGTAATAAAAAGACATGTAAACAAACAGCTTCCCCTCCAAGCTTGCAATCTTCTGCTTAAATCCACGTAATATGAGTACATACCTCCAACAACTCTGCTCGTCTCTTGTGTTCCAGCAGCTTATCTCGCATGTCAACAGGAAGGATCTGATCAAAGTCATATTCGCAACGACTGAGCTCAGTGCGGACTATAAAAAAAAACGACCAACCAATCACTAATAATGTTCGACGATTGCACTGGCCTTCTATATCAATGAACAAAAGCCCTTGCACCCAACACAATCTCTCTCTCTCTCTCTCTCTCTCTCTCTCTCTCTCTCTCTATATATATATATATATATATATATATATATATATATATATATATATATATATAT